GGTTTTCTAGAGAAGCCAAACTAGTAATATATAAATATAGATGATAAATTTTGGTTAAGAAAATGACTTAAACAATTGTAGAAGCAGGTAAGTTCAGTCCAGTCCAGTCGAAGTTCATGAGTTGCAAGGTTCTTCAGCTGTAATAGCTTCAGGAAGTGAGGCGGGGTTGCCTGATGTACCAGGATGCAGAAAATCCAACCAGGAAGCAGGAAGACCTACCAGAAATCCAAAAGACAAAGGAGGAAAACCACATGCTGGTGGACGGATAGGCAGATAAATCCAAGGTTAGCAGACCAGGTTTTTGGCTGCAGAGCCCAATGAATCAAAGGCCAGCAGGTTAGCTGGAAGGTTACTGCTGGCTCCCAGACTCTGCAGGCATTATGGTGGACCACTGGCCCAAGATAAAGAAGCAGAAGTCAGTGAGTCAGCGGCAGGATCTGAATCCAGATCCAGCAAGAATCTAGCCAGCTTCCCCACTGCTTGGCTGCTCACAGATCTCATCATGGGAAATACAGTGGAGTGTAACCCCTTTACTCAGGTAGCTCTGATGCAGCTGGAAGGAAATTTTTTCAGACACGTGCCTTACTTCTTATAAAAGTTGAAGCACTGGGGAAGTTAGCTAGTGCGTCAGTCAGTGGTTTGGGTTTTTGTTATATTCGATCACATCATAGGGGATTATAGCCAAACTACTGAGAATCCTGGTCCCCCCAGTCAAGTTGACACAAATCATAATTACCACAATTTGACACTCTTACCAATCTCCTTAAACCAATCAACACAACATGCTTATTTGCCTATTATCTAGAACCATGAGGATCCCAAATGGCCAGGAGGGGTTCTTAACTTTCAATTCAATGGAATCAGTGCCATGTTTCAGGTGAAAGTGTTTCTTCCTTTGGAACTAAGACTTCGAGGTCTAAGGAGCATAAACTCAGGAGGACAAGAAGCAAAAATGTTGCAAGTGGGTCACAAGCAATAATCATGAGTTGTGCTCCTATTTCCACCCTTTTGCTCCAGAACCTGTAAATCTTGGACCTTGGAGAAGCAGCATCATATATTTACAAGTGGTTCAGAGCATATATTGCCACCTGAAGAACATTGTCCCAACCTTGCAAAGAAGATATTATTACCTAGCTGAGGATCTAATTGCATCTTTAGAAGGCCATCCCATTGTTTATCAAGGCAGCTGCTTCAGAATGATGGGGACCTTGTAGGACCAGTGGATCCATGAACATGGGTTTATTGTCACACTTCATTTGCTGTGAAGTAAATCCCTTTGCCTGAGCCGAGGTAGTGCTGGATGTCATGCTGGTGAATAGAGCATCATGTCTATTTGAAGATGTTAGTTTGGGCAGAAGCATTGCATGCAGCGGAGGCAAATACATATTGAGAGTATGTGTCTGTCCAAGAAAGAATTAAATACTTCCTATAATGGAAATGGCAATCAACCTGCTACTAGGTTACTGGCTGAGCTCCCCAAGGCATGGTCACCTGTATCAGATTCAGTGTTTGTCTCTGCTGCTGACAGATTGGACATTCCACAGAGGCAATATCCAAGTGAGCCTTGGTGAATGGAAGTCCATGTTGCTGAACCCATGTATAATGGTTCTGGGTTTTGCAAATGTTTCATCTGAATTGTTAATGAAGTTTGATACGGTATAATATTTCTGATACTTACATTAGTCAGTCAAAAGCAGAGTAATCCAGATTATTCAGTTCTAAAAAGGCATACAGTATATGTAAAATATTTTTAATTTCTTAAATATTGCAATGCTTCCCCAGGGAGGACAGTTAGACTAGTACTTTATACATTATTTATTTATTTTAAATTTAAGGAGAACACATATTAAGTCTTAAAAGAGACAAAGACACAGACACATCATCTCAGAGAGAATCCATTATCATGAGATTAAAATGGTGTTTGAGGGTTTGTTGAGATACAAAGCTTTAAAAAGGGCATGGAGGAAGGGGGCAAAGGAAACTGTCACAAAAGCATGATTGGTGGCAGAGCAATACATCGCAATACATAGGTGGGACCACAGGAGCAGGCATGGGACCACATTGGGACATTTACATTGTTAGAAGGGCTTACACGATTGGTCCAGGTCCTTCTAAGTCTGATAGGACAGGATTCATGACTGTGCGACCCCCTGTACTGTTTCCAGTACAGTAACTTTCATCAAGGACACGCCTAGGTAAGCCCCTAGGAGAGAGACTACCTTTCCTGAGGCTGGCCAGAGAGGGGTGAAGGCAATCTGCTTTCAAAGGCATTCTTCCTCAGAGGAAGATTGTCTACATCCTTGGTTAGTGATGAGAAATAATTGGAGGCTTAATCTATTTGGGGACTCTGTTAATGAATTTTGGGCCGTCACTGCCATCCATAGCCTTTTGCAAGCCAGGGTACTCAGAGTTTAAGCTCTAACACAATTCCCCCCTCACCATACGTAATTATTCACTCTTAAATCACACAGGCTGATATGCTTCTTCTGTGTGGACTGCATAGACATGACACTTTAAGATAAGACTTTCTGATAGTCAAGCACTATCTGACTTCTTCACCACTCTTTGCTACGCACCCAGGTCTTTATCGAGCTCTTCAAGAGGGCTAGTATGGGGCAGGTCCATATGCTTTTAGATTCCTATAAAAATGTGACATTTATAGAGATAACTTTTTTCAATATTACTATTGATTATTTTTTCTCTTTGCTCAATTTTGCTAATGCATTATCAATTTTAATAACTACAGCCCACATGTTTTATATGTTATATTCTTATCAGCCTTCAGTTCAAAATAGTTTTAGCTTTCTATTGTGCTTCTTCCTGAAATATGGACCACTCAGAAATACTGAACAATACTAAGTGAAATCAAGTTCACAGGTTAAGTAAACAGTTGGATCTCACTGTCATCGAATCGATGCTGACTCACCGCGACCCCGTAGGACAGGGTAGAACTGCCCCTGCTACTTTCTGAGGCTACACTGCATTGTAGGAGTAGAAAGCCTCATCTTTCTTCGTTGGAGTAGTGGGTGGTTTCCATAGTAAGTCTTTTTTTAAACCTCTGAAAATGAATCATGTAGTCTAGGAAAATGTAGACTTCTCTCTTGGAGTGAAAGCTACATTAGGATTGCTGACCTTTTAGTTACCAGCCAAGTGCTAACCAAATTATGTAATTAGACCTCATCACCAGGATGGAGTGTTGTTGTATATAGCTCATAGAGAGTTATGAAAGGACTTTTTATTCAGGCCTGAAATCACTTAGGAACTAAACCTTGCTATTTGTGAGCATAAAAGTTATTTAGTTCATTTAGAAAATATTCTGAGGAGATTCTATAAATCCCCATACATGTCTGAGAGATGTTTCCATGATAACCTAGTTTGGGAATCATGGAAACATCTTCCTGCAAACATTTCTTGATATAGCTTGCATTTATTATCAGTTTTTAATTTAAGAAATTAAAATGAAGCTTACATTGACTTTATTACATTAGTTTTATTGTCATAATGAATCACTTCATTAACATACAAAGAGGGATCAATTTGCCATTATTTACATTGCATATCTGTTAGCACTGTGATGATATCACAAGAAATTATGACCACAGCTTTCTTTTGTTCATGGAATTAAACTAGAAATTAAAATATTGTGAAGGTTTGGCATACAAGTATATACAAACTGCTAAACCAAACTCACTTCCATGGAGCCAAATCTGACTTGTAATGACCCTATAGGATAGAA